TCACCATGGTCTCGATCTCCTGACCTTGTGATCCGCCCGCCTCGGCCTCCCAAAGTGCTGGGATTACAGGCATGAGCCACCGCGCCCGGCCGTTTTTTTCTAATTCTGTGAAGAAAGTCAATGGTAGCTTGATGGGAATAGCATTTAATTTATAAATTACTTTGGGCAGTATGGCCATTTTCATGACATTGATTCCTCCTATCCATGAGCATGGAAGGTTTTTCCATTTGTTTATATCCTCTTTTATTTACTTGAGCAGTTGTTTGTAGTTCTCCTTGAAGAGGTGCTTCACATCACTTTTCAATTTTATTCCTAGGTATTCTGTTCTCTTTGAACCAATTGTGAATGGAAGTTCACTCATAATTTGGCTCTCTGCTTGTCTATTATTGGGGCATAGGAATGCTTGTGATTTTTGCACATTGATTTTGTGAGACTTTGTTGAAGTTGCTTATCAGTTTAAGGAGTTTTTGGGCTGAGATGATGGGGTTTTCTAAATATATAATCATATCATCTGCAAAGAGAGACAATTTTACTTCCTCTCCTCCTATCTGAATACCCTTTATTTCTTTCTCTTGCCTGATTGCCCTGGCCAGAACTTCCAATTCTATGGTGAATAGGGGTGATGAGAGAGGGCATCTTTGTCTTGTGCCAGTTTTCAAAGGGAATGCTTCCAGCATTTGCCCATTCTGTACGATACTGGCTATGGGCTTGTTTTAAATAGCTCTTGTTATTTTGAGATATGTTTCATCAATACCTAGTTTACTGAGAGTTTTTAACATGAGGGAATGCTGAATTTTATCAAATGCTTTTTCTGCACCTATTGAGACAATCATGTGGTTTTTGTCATTGGTTATGTTTATGTGATGGATTATGTTTATTGATTTGCATATATTGAACCAGCCTTGCATCCCAGGTATGAAGCCAACTTCATCATGGTGGATACACTTTTTGATGTGCTGATTTGTTTTCCAGTATTTCATTGAGAATTTTTGCATCAGTGTTCATCAGGGATATCAGCCTGAGATTTTCTTTTTTATGTTGTGTCTTTGACAGGTTTTGGTATCAGGATGAGGCTGGCCTCATAAAATGAATTAGGGAGAAGCCCTTCTTTTTCTATTGTTTGGAATAGTTTCACGAGGAATGGTACCAGCTCCTCTTTGTACCTCTTGTAGAATCTGGCTGTAAATCTGACTGGTCCTGGGCTTCTTTTCATTTCTAGGTTATTAATTACAGCTTCAATTGCAGAATGTATTATTGGTCTATTCAGCGATTCGACTTCTACTTGGTTAAGTCTTCGGAGGGTGTATGCGTCCAGGAATTTATCCGTATCTTCTAGATTTTCTAGTTTATTTGCATAGAGGTGTTTATAAGTATTCTCTGACGGTAGTTTGCATTTCTATGGGATCAGTGGTGATATTCCCTTTATCATTTTTTCTCATGTTTATTTGATTCATCTCTCTTTTCTTATTAATCTAGCTAGCAGTCTGTCTATTTTGTTAATCTTTTCAACAAACTAGTTCCTGGATTCATAGATTTTTCTGAAGGGTTTTTTGGGTCTCTATCTCCTTCAGTTCTGCTCTGATATTAGTTATTTCTTGTCTTCTGCTAGCTTTGGAATTTGTTTGCTCTTGCTTCTCCAGTTCTTATAATTGTGATGTTAGGGTGTCGATATCAGATCTTTCCAGCTTTCTGATTTCCCTCTTAACACTGCTTTAGTTGTGTCCCAGAGATTCTGGTACATTTTTCTCACTGTTTTCAAAGAACTTCTTTATTTCTGTCTTAATTTCGTTATTTACCCAGTAGTCATTCAGGAACAGGCTGTGGTTTTGAGTGAGTTTCTTAACCCTGAGTTCTAATTTGATTGCCCTGTGGTCTGAGAGACTGTGTATGATTTCCGTTCATTTGCTGAAGAGTGTTTTACTTCCAATTATGTGGTAAATTTTAGAATAAGTCTATGCGGCACTGATAAGAATGCGTTCTGTTGATTTGGGGTGGAGAGTTCTAGATGTCTATTAGGTCTGCTTGGTTAAGAGCTGAGTTCAAGTCCTGAATATCCTTGTTAATATTTTGTCTCCTCGATCTGCCTAATATTGACAGTGGGGTGTTAAAGCCTCACAGTATTATTGTGTAGGAGTCTAAGTCTCTTTGTAGGTCTCTAAGAACTTCTTTTATGAAGCGCAGTGCTCCTGTATTGGGTGGGTGCACATATATTTAGGATAGTTACCTCTTCTTGTTTCCTTCATCGCTTTATAATTATGTAATGATCCTCTTTGTCTTTTTGATCTTTGTTAGTTTAAAACCTGTTTTAGCAAAGACTAGGATTGCAACTCTGCTTTTTTTTTTTTTTTTTTTCCGCTTTTCATTTGTGTGGCAGATATTCTCCAATCCCGTTCTTTTGAGCCTATGTGTGTCTTTGCATGTGAGATGTTCTCCTGAATGAATGCAACACACTGATGGGACTTGGTTCTTTACCCGATTTGCCAGTCTGTGTCTTTTAATTGGGGAATTTAACACATTTACATTTAAGGTTAACATTGTTATGTGTGAACCTGATCCTGTCATCACAATGCTAACTGGTTATTTTGAACATTAGTTGATGTAGTTTCTTCATAGTTTCCTTGGTCTTTATATTTTGGTGTGTTTTTGCAGTGGCTGGTACCAGTTTTTCCTTTCTATATTTAGTACTTCCTTCAGAAGTTCTTGTAAGGCAGGTCTGGTGGTGACAAAATTCCTCAGCATTTCCTTATTTAAAAAGGATTTTATTTCTCCTTTCCTTATGAAGCTCAGTTTGGCTGGATATGAAATTCTGGGATGAAAATTCTTTTCTTTAAGAATGTTGAACATTGGCCCCCACTCTCTTCTGGCTTGTAGGGCTTCTGCAGAGAGATCTGCTGTTAGTCTGACGAACTTCCCTTTGTAGGTAATCTGACCTTTCTCTCTGGCTGCCCTTAACATTTTTTCCTTCATTTCAACTTTGGAGAATCTGACAATTACATGACTTGGGGTTGCTCTTCTCAAGGATTATCTTAGTAGTGGTTCTATTTCCTGAATTTAAATGTTAGCCTGTCTGGCTAGGTTGGAGAAGTTCTCCAGTATAAAATCCTGAAGTGTGTTTTCCAACTTGGTTCCATTCTCCCCATCACTTTCAGGTACACCAATCAATCATAGGTTTGGCCTTTTCACATAGTCCCATATTTCTTGAAGGCTTTGTTCATTCCTTTTCATTCCTTTTTTCTCTAATCTTGTCTTCATGCCTTATTTCAGCAAAGTGATATTCAATCACTGATATCCTTTCTTCTGCTTGATCAATTCAGTTATTGGTACTTGTGCATGATTCACAAAGTTCCTGTGCTGGGTTTCTTCAGCCCCATCAGGTCATTTATGTTCCTCTATAAACTGATTCTTCTAGATTGCAGTTCCTGTAGCCTTTTATCAAGGTTCTAAGATTCCTTGCATTTGGTTAGTCTATGCTCCTTTAGCACAGAGGAGTTTGCTATTCCCACCTTCTGAAGCCTACTTCTATCAATTAGTCAGTCTCATTCTCTGTCCAGTTTTGTGCCTTTGCTGGATAGGAGTTGCTATCATTTGAGGAGAAGAGGAATTCTGGTTTTGGAATTTTCAGCATTTTTGCACTGTTTTATCCTCATCTTCGTGGATTTATCTACCTATGATCTTGTGGGGTCTTTTTTGTTGATGTTGATAGTGTTGCTTTCTGTTTCTTAGCTTTTATGCTAACAGTCAGGCCCCTCCTGTTCTGCAGGTCTGCTGCAGTTTGCCGAAGGTCCACTCCAGACCCTGTCCACCTGGGTATTAACACCGGAGGCTGCAGAACAGCTAACATTGCTGCCTCCTCCTTCCTCTGGATACTGCATCTCAGAGGGACACTAACCTGATGCCAGCCAGAGCTCTCCTGTATGAGGTGTCTCTCAACCCCTGTTGGGAGGTCTCTCCTGGTCAGGAGGCTCAGGGGTCAGCGACCCACTTGAGGCGGCAGTCTGTCCCACAGCAGAGCTGGTGCGCTGTGCTGGGAGAATCCCACTTGTCAGGATCAGCTGCTCTCTTCAGAGTCGGCAGGCAGGAAAGTTTAAATCCACTGAAGCTGCGCCCACAGCTGCTCCTTCCCCCAGGTGCTCTGTCCCAGGGAGATGAGAGTTTTATCTGTAAGCCCCTGACTGGGGCCTTTCCTTCAGAGATGCCCTGTCCAGTGAGGAGGAATCTAGAGAAGTAGTCTGGCCACAGCTGCTTTGCCATGCTGGGGTGAATTCCACCCAGTCCAGACCTCCCAGCCTCCTTAGAACTATGTTTATGGTTCCCATTAAGAGTAAGGCATAAAACCACAGGGGCACAAGGATCAAGAGGTTACTATGAAAAGTACAGTTGTGCTCTGAAGCACCCCCTGCAGGCAGGATCCTGTCCAGAGAGCCAGGAGGAGGGAGGCCACTGGTCAGCATTCTGGGCTATTTTTGGCTCCCTCCCACCTGCCCCTCCTTTCGGCCCAAGTTCTAGTCCCACTTGCTTTGTCACCCACTGCCTGTTTATGGCAGCTTCCTCTCTGGTCTTCAGTGTCCTCATTGATCTAATGAATACACATCGCTCCTCTAATCACAAATATTCATGCAGAAGTATAAATGATGTGAAAGTGCTTTGAAAATTGTAGTAAGTGAAAGGGCACTGACTTCTTCCCATTTTCCCAAGTCCTGCTTCAGAACCACTCTCCTAGGCCCCCAGTCCCTAGCTCCATCTTGGACCTTTGATCAAACTTTGCCTACTGAGGGGCATAACTACATGGTATCCCCAGAAAAGGGACTAATATTACAGCCCCCATTTCTTCTCTGCTATTTTCCATGATCGCTCTTACATCTAGAAACTGGGATCTGTTCTCTAGTTGGTGGGGCCCTCTCCCTAGACCAAAAGAGAGGGGCACACAGGCATCATAATGGGCATTCAGACATGGTATGATACAAGGGGTGGGCATGTTATAAATGCTGGGGTAGGTCTGGGCACATCCCACGTACTCATTTGGACTCACTGGGAGAAGGGATTAACTAGAATTCTCATTGGAAGAATTGACAGGAAAGCTCCCTCCAATTTCTCAATTTCCACCCCGCCTGGTACCTGGTTTTATGATTCCACACCCTCCTGATCCATCCTGCCGTCCTAATACATCCCACTCTCTTAAGCCATCCTACTCTTGTGCTCACAAATCCCTCCCCCTTCTTCAATCTGCCAAGCCCCTTCCTCCTCTCCAGAAGCATGTGGATTTTTCAGTTTTCTGCCCTAACTGTTATCCCACTGTGGCTCATACCTGCCCTCCCCACTACCCTACCCTAATACTCTACCTGCCCTGCTCTTCTGCTATTCGTTACAAACCATCCATTTGTCATTGCTCTGGTCCCAGATCTCTTTCTGGAAACTCCCCTATCCATCACCCTAGCCCTCCTCCTAGCCCTACTGGTCAACTTTGGGGTCCCAGAACTCTTCCTTGTGATTCCCCAATCTGTTCCCCTATTCCTCCTCCTAGCCCTCCTTGCCAACACTCTGGTCCCAGAACTCTTTTCTGTGACTCCCCTATCTGTCCCCCTACTCCTCCTCCTAGCCCTGCTTGCAAACACTGTCGTCCCAGAGCTGTTTCCTGGGATGCCTCTACCTATGACTCTACTCCTCCTCCTTAGCCCTACTTCTTTCTAGTCCCCAGCCCCAGCCCCGCCATCTCCACCAGACCTGACAGTTCACAAATCTCATCTTGGAGATGGTTTCCCTGCTCCTGGGGCAGTTCTGGTACAGTTCAGGATGGCCAGGACTGTGGGTTCTCAGCAGCCTGGCCTGGTGGACAAAGGAAATGCAAGATGGTGGCAAACCAGCATTCAGCCTCAGTAAGTCACAAGAGCCCTTCTCCATGACCAGGTCATGGTCACCCTACTGTCATCTGTACTTTGCCTTTATTCCCATCCTGTTAATACTCTTCAGAGACCAGAGATACCTCTAACAATTTTCTGTCTCTAAACAGTCTGCTCCTTTCCTCCCCTGCCTGATCAGCCAGCCTGCATGAGCCTCTGTATTTGTTTCTGGCTTCTCCATGGAACTCAGCCTACAGCCACAAAGCAAACCACGGGGCCAGTGACAGAGAAGGCAGAGGGGAGTGAGGAGTGGGAAACACCTAACCTGTTCTCAAGGAAGGTAAGTCCTGCCCTGGGTTAAACTGAGTGCAATAACAGTGACCCCTGAGAGCTCACAGGGCACAAGGCCCCCACTATCAGTGGAAAATCAGTGTTGGTTTTGTTTATGTATTTGCTGCCTGGCTTATCCCAGAATTTATTTGTATTCACCCTAGGATTCTAGAACCATGGTAGAGATGTTCTGTCCTTGAGAAATGTCTCCTGCAGTAGGGGGTGGGGCCCTCCACTGTGCCCTTATCACAGCACAAAGGGCTGAGCCTCTTTCATCAGCTGCTTCTACCTCACAATGGGGAGGGAGCAGAGCTGCAAAGCAAGAGCCCGTCCAGATCCCACTCAGATGCCTGCAGGACATGCGCTGATGATGCTTACAAAAGGCCTCTTTTCCACTGGTTATCTAGATTCTCCATCAGACAACATCAAGAATCTCAATCAAAATCCCACTATATTTTTGAGAACTTGACAATTGAAATTTATATGGAAATGCAAAAAGCCAAGGTTAGCCAACACTCTCATAAAAAGACATTTTCCCTACCAGATATCAGAACTTAGCATGAAAATTATAGTAATTAAGATAGCATAGGAGTGGCGAAAGCATAGACAAGTAGACAAGTGGCACAGAATTGAGACCAGAACAACACTCACAGACATGTGGACACTTTCTTGAAGACTCCTGCAGCAGGCCAGGCGCGGTGGCTCACGCCTGTAATCCCAGCACTTTGGGAGGCCGAGGCGGGCAGATCACGAGGTCAGGAGATCGAAACCATCCTGGCTAACACGGTGAAACCCTGTCTCTACTAAAAATACAAAAAAATTTTCAGCCAGGCGTGGTGGCAGGTGCCTGTAGTCCCAGCTACTCAGAAGGCTGAGGCAGGAGAATGGTGGGAACCCAGGAGGCGGAGCTTGCTGTGAGCCAAGATCTTGCCACTGCACTCCAGCCTGGGTGACAGAGCAAGGCTCTGTCTCAAAAAAATAAATAAATAAATAAAAATAAGACTCCTGCAGCAGACAGAACAGTGGGGACAGGATTGCCTTTTCAACTAAGTGGTGCTGGGTCAGTTGGTTACTCATTTGGAAAAAAAAAAAAAATCAAGCGAGATTCCCACTTCACACTACACTCAAAAATCAGTTAGGTAGAAGACAGGTCTAATGTGAAACAGTAAAAGCAATAAATATTCTACGACTGCTCTGCCCATGCATGGCTACTGAATACTTGAGATGTGCCAATAAGCGGAACACTTGCATTGGAATGTTAAACAGTAGGAAAAACCAATGTTAAATATCTCAATACTTTTTATATTGAAAGTTTGAAATTATAATAATTTGTATATACTGAGTTAAATAAAACACTATTAAACTTAGCTTTATTGGATTCCCTTTTCTCTCTCAATGTGGATACTAGATAATATTTAGTCTAGATAATATGTGTCTCACTTCATAATTTTTATTGGATGGCAGTGATCTAGAGGGTAACACAGAAATATATATATCTTCAGGACATCAAATCAAGAAAAGATGTCATGAATGGCATTTACGAAACAATAACCATAAAGTGAAAGACTAATACATTCGACCGCATTTAAATTTTTGGTCTCAAAAAAACAGCATTAAGAGACTAAAAAGGCAAGCCACAAAGAGAGAAAAGATATTTGTAGCACACATAATTCTCAAAATAATAAACTCCAAGAAACTAATAAATGGAAAACCAGTCAATAGTAAAACACATAGAACACTGTCTCCCAGACACCCAGCGCATCCTGAAGCACACTGTGTCCCGAATGAATGAAGGAACACATGGTAGGGAAGAGCACAGGCTTTAAAGTCAGTGTTTAGGCACTCGCTAAATCCAGGGGGTGGCTAATTTCTCAATGCTAGGCATACTTTGGTTCTTTTAAAGTAAACAGTATTACATTAAGCATCTATAAGAGTCATTCATAGTAACAAAAGGTAAAATGGTGGCTGCCAGGGGCTGGAGGGACGGGAAATGGAGAGTTGTTTAATGTGTGTGAAAGAAAATGTTCTTAGCACTACTCACTTAAGAATGCCTAAGATGGTGAGTTTTATGTGTAGTTTATAACGAACATTTATAAAACTCTCAAGTCACCATGTTAATTAGAATGGAGAGCTACTCCGTCTGAGATACACACAGTTTGGATTCTGGACATCTGCTTTTAAGTAGGGAGAGGTTTCTGACCCCTTACGAAATCTCTTTCAGGGAATGACTGGCCAAGATGAGATTCAATCGTATGTCCACTACCTCCTGGCCTGCCACCTGGCTGTGAGTCCTTTGTGGGTGGTGTCCAGAGGCGGTTCCAGTGACCAGGCAGGTGCTGAGAAGCACAGGCAGGTGAGTTGAGCGATGGAAGGAGGTGGGGTGTGAAATAAGATCCTGAGAGGTGGGAGGGGAGTGGGCAGGGTGGGTGGAGGCAGGGGAATGGGTGACAACACCGAGATCTACTCCCCCTCATGGGACACCTGCCAGGAGACAGCGTGTGATGCCACTGCCTAGAGTCGGCAGAAGACCCAGGAGCAGGCAGGCAGCACAAGGGCACCCAGAGTGCTCCTGATCAGACAGAGCAGCATGGAGGCTGCAGTGGGACACCCGAGGGAAAAGGTGACCCCAGATGAGGTTCAGCAGAACCAGATACTGTGGGAACTCCCTAACCAGACCAAGCAGCATGGAGGCCACGGTGAGACTCCTGAGGGAGAAGGCAAACCCAGATAAGGCTCATCAGGACCAGATCTTGTGGGAACTGGAGAGAACAATCCCAGATGACGTCCATTGGGACCAGATCTTGTGGGAAACACAGAGAACAATCCCAGATGACGTCCATCGGAACCAGATCTTGTGGGAACTGGAGAGAACAATCCCAGATGATGTCCATCAGGACCAGATCTTGTGGGAACCGCACTTCAAAGTGCTGCCAACCCACAAACACTGCATGCAGCATCACATGGATGCCCTCTGCAAGGGGGAGGGGATGCTTGCAGGATGGAGGAAATACCAGAGTGGCATGTGGGGCTCATTAAAGGAGAAGTTACCCTCTCACACCCTACCTCCTTCTATAGACTTTAGGAGTGATGTCTTTGGAAGGGGCTCGCCTACATCACATCAGATGTATTAAATATATTAAAACACATCCACGCCTCATGGAACATTTTCACTGTAGAAATGAGAGGTTGAATATCATTTTCTAATTTTGTTTTTGAAACATAACTGTATTTTGCAGGATTGCTATGTGTTGGTTTTGTTGCTATTTTGGTTTCTTTCTAACAAGCTAAAGGTTTCTACTCAGGCTTCTGACCTCATAGACCTTTCGAAAGCTCAGGGTTGTGGAAGCCTCTGGGCCCATGGTGTTCCCCTGATGAGGCAGCCCTGCCCTCCTTTCTCATCACTGTGCACGCTCCATGGGCAGTCACATCCGGGCCTGCCACATCAGCTCCCCCTAGGCTACTGGGCCTTAAATGAAGCTTCAGAATCACGTACAAAACCACCTCCCATCTCCCTTCCCTGGACAACCCACAGGCACCTCACACTCACTAGGTGGAAAGCCAGGTTACCCTGTACCTTCTTCCAAAACCTCTGCTACTCTAGACAGTCTTGTGTCTCAGCACAAGGCAACACAGTCATCCTCTCTCCCACATTAGAAGCCCAGGAGTCACCCCCAGTCTCTCCCTCACTCCGCACATGTAGGGAGGCACAAGTCCTGTTGATTCCTTCACATTTGTCTCACCTGTTCCTCCCTCAGTGTAAGACTCCACTATGCACGTGGAAGCATCTGCACCTCCACCCACATCATTTCACCCTCCAAGCAGCATCTAAACCTGCCTCTCACCGCCATCCTCACTCCCAAAGCCTCAGCAGGGCCCTGCTCTCTCTTCCCTGGGTTAGTCTGATGGGCTTTTCAACTACTCTCTTTCCCTCCTGCCCATCCCCTCCACGGTCCTGCTAGTCAGGGCTATGTCAGTAGGTCAACTAGATCACATCAATCCCCATGTAAGGTCTCTCCATGGCCCTCACAGCTCCTGAGCTTAAATCAATCAGCACACATGGCACCTTTGGGTCTGGCTCTGGTTTCTGCCTGGATTCACCACATACTCCCCTCCACCTTTCCACCTGCAGCTCTATTTATTTATATAAATTATTTTTGAGATGAGGTGTCACTCTGTCACTCAGGCTGGATTGCAGTGGTGTGCAGCGCATTGCAGCCTTGAACTTCTGCCCACTTAAGCCTCTGGAGTAGCTGGCACTCTAGGCACACATCACCAAAACTGGCTATATTTTTCCCAACTCCATCCCCAACTCCTGGCCTCCAGCAATCCTTCCACCTCAACTTCAGCTTCCCAAAGTGGTGGGATTACAGGTGTGAGCCACTGAACCCAGCCAGATATGTGTATATATATATATATTTTAATTTTTTGCTTCTTGCTTTTGAGCTTTTGTTTCATTAGTGTATAAAGTCTAGACTGGGTATATAGTTCTGAATTTAAATGCATGCTCTATGACACGGACTGTTCACTTTTTTTCTGAACTGCAGTTTTTCCATCCGAAAAATGGAAATAACAACCCACCACTCCACGAGTCTTTTCAGAATTGAAGATTTGCTTAAAGCATGTGGCTCAGAGGAGGTATACAATAAATAATGTCTATCATCACCCTGTTAGTCTTTACCCAATGATTATGAGTGTTCAATTGTTCTCCTCACCAGATAAGTTAGTTTCACCAATGTATTTCCTTACTGCCTAGTCCCCATGCCTCTGTTTATTGGTGTCATCTCATATCACACAGCAGCTCAGTGATGGTGCTGGCCAATCTTGGTGTGTGTTCACATCTGTGTCCTTAGCACTCCATGGCACTAGCTCTACACCTATCTCTGCAGCCTACAACTAATCCAGAAAAAGACCAGTGGGAGTACCTCTGGATCTACCAGATACACTCTGACATCTACCTGAATTCTCCCCTTTAGAATTTTTCACAGGATTCTTACTTACTGTATTCCAACAGGCATTTTCTCCAAATAGTCCTTTCTTCTTGCCTTTTAAAATCAGTTGGGTTAGAACAGACACCCAGGCATTATCAGGCCCATGGGACCAAGGAGATGACTGACATAAAAACTGCTGAAGATGGAGCTGACTAGATAGGATGAGAAAACTTTGTCTAGCAGAAAGTGGCTATTGTTTTAGTAGTTTTAAAACTTGCCAAACTCACATGAACAGGATATGAGACTTAAATTGTTTGATCATGATACAATGTGTCATGTGTGTCAAAACATCAAACTGTACCCATCCAGTATACAGAATTATGTTTTAATTAAATAATTAAAAAGTTAGTATATTTCAATTACTTTGGAGAACTGAGTGACATTATAAAAAATTAAAAATTTGCAGGACACATTTTAACTTAACTGGCATATGGGATTTAAAACTGAGTACCATAACTTAGGAAGCATGAAAATAAATTCTTTCTGCATGTTAGTGTGAGGTTTTTTTTCCAGCCATTACGACCATTCAAGAGCAGTGAAACAAACTCATTTTAGAGCCACACACGCAAACTCTCATAATAATTATTCAACACAGTTTTCAAACGTAATAAACCACACTTAAACACAGTTTTACATGAAAAAGTAAATCAGATACTTTCCTGATACAATATATTAAAAGGCAAATTCACTGACAGCAGGGGCTTTAAAAAGTGACAACATTCTGAGAGTGTCGGCACAGTGCTGTGTTTTGGACACGAAGTGGAATTCACTAAATGACGCCAACATGTTTAAAAGAACCTCTAGCGTAAACTTTTTAAAAATCTCAAATCTAGAAGGCCCTAACGTATGTGCATGTTTCTAAATACAAAGTAAGTTATCGCCAAGGAAATAATGACCAGGAAGCAATAATAAAGAAAAGGGATTTATTTATTTTCCTTTTAGAATTAGTTTAGGAATTTCTCTCTAGTTTAGCTAATTATCTTCAAATCCCAAATACTACATTCTCAAATACCACACTAACACCTACTAAATCACACAGCAAGTTTTTGGTATGCAATAAAATAAATCTTCACTAATCCAAAAGGAAGACAGCTGGGAACTGCATCCAGCAAACTTGCTTCCAATGTATTACTAAATAAGACGCTACAAAGATAAGGAAGCTCCGTAACTCCCTCACCATTTGCCCTGAGGTAATCTTCTTGTGGGCAAAGGATGAACAGAGCACAATGCCATCTCTCTGCTCACCTGACACAAACGCACATCTCATTGCTTCTTCTGCTGTATCGTTTCACTAAGCTAGACTAAGGCATAAGTGAAGATTCTTTTACCCTCCTCTCACATGTAAACTGTGTAATCAGAAAAAGGCTAATCAGAGACTCGAAAGAATGCAACCATTTGTCTTGTCTACTTATGACCCGGAAGCCTCCGCCCATGCTTCGAGTTGTTGTCCCACCTTTCTGGACAAAACCAATGTACATCTTACACATATTGATTGATTCCTCACAACTTCCAACAATGCATTAAAGCAAGCTGTACCCCAACCATCTTGGGCACATGTCCTCAGGACCTCCATAGGCTGTGTCACGTCCATAACCCTGGCAAACTAAACTTTCCAAATTCATTGAGACCTGTCTCCGATATTCTGTATTCACAATTGAAAAGCAACTTACAGTGAGAAGTCCTCGGCTTCCTGCTCTACACAGCTAACTTGAGTCTTCTTTGGTGACCCCCGGCGTTCTCATCAGACCTCCCTGGTGGAAGAGCATGTGGGATTATATCATTGACATACACAAGTGTATGTGTTTGCTTTATAGCACAGCATTAAGAAGTCTAAATGAAAAAGGTTTTCTTGTCTTGACAATCTAAAACAAAGGGCCCGAGAATCCAGCAAGTAACTACTCACTAAATGTGTTAAATGCAAAGTGTAAGTAAAATGAGGAGGGTTTTTTTTATAGGTTACTGCTTAGAGTGGAAGTTAGGGGACCTCAGTTCTGGTGATAAAATCAATCCCTCCTTTGGAGGTCGATATTAGGGTGAATTCTGGCAATCATACTTTATTTGACCCTTAAAAATTAGCACTGAATGCATGATTACAGTGGCACAATACAGAACTCTAATATAATGAATCTAATACAGGAAGAAATTTCTAAATGCCCCTAGAATATCTCAAAATTATTTGCTAAGAAATGCTAAGATCTCAGCAAAATGGCTTTCAAATAGCTAACTGTGATTGGGTTTTTGATATACTTTCCCTGATATATATATTTTTTGTCCTAGGAGTGGGGAGATTGGAGGTAAAGACTGCTTTGCCACACTAATGAATATGGTGTTAAAAGTACAGGTGCTAAAAAATATGTTCTCTAATTAATTATTTTTGTAGAAAATTAAATTAAAAACCAAAACTAATGTAAGCTATCCATTTGTATATCCTTACCTTGATCATAAAATTTTGGTCTATATTCTTCACCAAAGCATTCGCACTCCGGAATCTCATTATTTAGGTCGAATTCTTCTGTCACTGTGTCATTTACTTTATACCACTTTCCTTTTCCACAACCCCTAGAACTCAGAGATCAGACAAACACATTAAGGTTAAAAACAAACACCCTCGTCCCCAGCATTTATCTCTATGCAATGTCTACAAATAAAGTAGGTAACCATGATCTTAAACATCTAAGAAAAATGTGGCAATAATTATTTCAATTTCTAAAATAACTTTTCAAATTGAAGGGATAAAGCCAGCTACATTAAGCTTTAAAAATTCAGAATGAAATGAGGTCAAAGAACAAAGTCAACGTGTCCTGTACCATGAAGGTGAGTGTGGATGATAAGGGAGGCAGAGAGAGCAGGGGAGAGGCTGGTGGCCAGTGAGCAAGCACCACCTGCAGAGACCCTCCCAACCTGTCCCTCATAAAAGAATAGCAGGGGCCTGTGTGTGCTGCCCATTGTATATGATGACATGAAGTGCACAGTCTTCTATGAAGGCACTTTTTTTTTTTTTTTGTGGGGACCCTCCACCTTCCTGGATCTATACTTCACCCATCTTCACCAATTTCCAAAGAGATATTCTGCCAAACCATTCTAGAAACTGTAAGGCTCCATGTTCAGCATCCAGGGAAACTATGTTAAAGGAAAAAGACCATATTAACATGGATTAGTAACACAGCAGGACTCAATTAAGTTAGACAGAATTCAGAGGATGTGATTTCCTAGTTTAAGGACAGAGTATCTACCTCATCAATTTAATCACAAAATCTAAGAAACGGCAATTCTGGGAAAGCCTAAGTAGCCCCTGGTTTGAGCATTAGGCATTTTCCTTCACAGCAATGACAAGGCTGCACTCTAGAAATGAGTGCTCCTGTATAGAGATCTGCCTGTCCCATGAGCAGCAACTGCTTCGGACAAGGGGTTCCTCATACACTGGGGTCACAGCCTTTCACATGGTGAATGAAACATGAAAACAAAAAAAAAAAAAATGAGAGAGGAAATTGTTTTTAGAAATTTCAGGAGGAGAAAAGTTGCCTTTATTTGTTCATCATATTTAGCGGAGCAGCTAATCTCCCAGTCAAATCCAAATCTCATTAGGTCAATTACTCAGATACTGATACTAGGTCAAAACTTAATACAGTTCCTTTCCACTGAAACAGAATTCACAGACACAAGCAAATACAAAGAAAAGATAAATCTAACTAAGAATAAAATCCCACTTGCTACAAAGTAGTTATCCAATTTTCTTTTCTGCTTTTTGCTTGTAATTTAAAATTGACCCATCTGACAGAAACTTGTGGCTAGTGACGGAATCTAGTGAATCAGCTGAGATAAGCAACAGTCAAGGTGTGGGAATGAATAGTTGGGAATCTGATCTCTAGTCCTGGCTCACCACTCATCACAGAGTTTCCCAAAAATAGAGTAAAATATTTAGGAATTAATTTGACCAAGAAGAATGGAAGACTTGTATAATGAACACTATAAAGAAGACATGAGTAAATGGAGACACAATCCATGTTCACAGTTTGGAAGACAATATTGTTAAGATGTCAATACTATCCAAAGCAATCTACAGATTTATGCAATTCCCATCAAAATCACAATGACTTTTTACAGAAATAGAAATATCTATTCTAAAATTCATAAGGGATTTCAAGGAACCCCAAATAACCAAAACAATCTTGCAAGAAAAAAAAAGCTGGAAGATTCACAATTCCTGTTTTCAAAACTTTCTACAGTCATAATAACCAAAACAGTGTGACACTGGCATAAAGACAGACATATAGGTGAATGAAATAGAACAGAAAGCCCAAAAATATATACTTACATATATGGTAAAATGATTTTCAACAAGAGTGTCAAGACCATATAATAGGGAAAATGTCATTTTTTAAACACATGGCATTGGGAAAACTAAATATCAACATGAAAAAGAAGAAAATTGGATCCTTACCTAATACCATATACAAAGTTAAAATGGATCAAAGACTTAAATGTAAAACCTAAAATTATGAAACTCTTAGAAGAAAAGATAAGATAAAAACTTCACAACACTGCATTTGGCAATGATTTCTTGAATATGACACCAAAAACACAGGCAACAAAATTTTAAAAATAGACAAACAAGACTTCATGAAAATTGCAAATTTTGTGCATCTAAATACATTATCAACAACGTAAAAGAGCAGCCCACAGAATGGGAGAAAATACTTGCAAATAAAGTGATTAATATCCAGAATATATAAAGAACTTCTAAAACTCAACAACAAACAACAATTTAATTCAAAAATAAGCAAAGGACTTAAAAGGAATATTTCTTCAAAGAAGATAGAAAATGGCCGATAAGTATGAGAAGATATTCATTATCACTAGTCATTAGGGAAATGTGAATCAAAACTGCAATGAGATACCACTCCATACCCATCAGTATGACATCTATAAAATAAAATAGAAATAGAAAATATCAAGTTTTGTCAAGGATGTGGAGAAATTGGAACGCTTTTGCATGGTTAGTGGGAATGTGAAGTGGTACAGCTATTGTAGAAAACCGTATGTTGTTTCCCGAATAAACTAAAAATAGAATTACCATGTGATCCAGCAATTGCACTTCTCAGTATATACTCAAAAGAACTGAAAACAGGGTCTTCAAGAGATTATTTGTACACCCGCATTGATAGCTGTATTACTCCCAATATCCAAAATATGGAAGCAATCCAAGTGTCCATTGACAAATGGATAAGCAAAACGTGGTCTTCGCAGACGATGGATCGTCAGTACTAAAAAGAAAGAAAATCCCGTCACATCTACAATATGGATGAAACTTGAAGACATTATGCGGAGTAAAATAAACCAATCACAAAAACAAATGTTTTATGATTCCATTTATATTGGATACTTAAAACATTAGTCAAAATCAGAGGCAGAAAGTAGAATGGTGGTTACCAGGGGCTGGGGGAGAAGGGAATGGAAAGTTATTGTTTAACGGGTACAGAGTTTCAGTTTTAGAAAATGAAGAGAGATATGGAGATAGATGATGGTGATGGCTGTGCAACCTTATACATGTATTTATTACCACTGAATGGGAAACTTAAAATGGCTAAGATAATAAATTTTATGTTATATATATTTTTACCACAATTAAAAAATTGTAGGGGGGGAAAAATGTCCTGGGTACACAGTCTTCACTCTTCTAACAGGAAAAACAAAAACAAAAAACTCGTGTTTGTTGAATATTTTTCTCCTCTGATTACATTTTTTAGCAGAAAATTGAAACATACACTTTTCAAAATAACTAACACCATGCCACTCATTTCCGTAAGCCCCTTACAGTTTTTAACCAGAATACAGTATCTTCACTCCACCTAAGATGCCAAGTTGCTCTGCTCTTTTATAATTTATCACTTAAAATTTACAGGAAATGCTTAAGCTTGCTTACTAAATCTGACAGCCAAGCTTCTATGCAATGTTTATATCTGGTACCTAATTCCACTTGCATTAGCAAGGAAGCTTTCGGTGATGACCTAGCAAGACTTGCTTTAAATGGTGCTTTTTTTTTTTGGACAAAGCCTTGAAGCAAGGATAAACAGTATATTCTCCACATCTAAGTTTAACACCAGAACAGACATAACCTCACACCTAACACTTGGCAGTAGTTGTGTTTAAATCTGAAAGTAGTCTGTTGCTAGAAGGGTAGTATTTCCCTCTTTAATGTGCTTTGATTTACTGTTGTACTGCATTTCAGACAAAACTCTTAGTACATGATGTTTATCAGGGAGAGGAAGATTAGTAGGGGTTTACCTTGCTTGATGTCTACTCTATTAGGAATATCATTAGTTTCCATTAAGTTTGATTCTCTCAGCTACAGACTAGGACTGAATTGATCACTTTGGGAAATTAAATTTACTCTCACAAGCAAGTAAGGCACTATTTAGTGAATTAGTAATCCAAAGCAATAATGTTAGCCCATAATAGTTTTCAAAATTCATTAGAACAATGAAGTTCTACCCAAGTTGAAATCTGCACAGATACACCTCTCATTTTTCGCCACAGGTGTCTCCTTACTCCCATCCTCATCCGGCGATGGCTTGTATTCTAAACTAAGAGAGAAGCAACCTCAAAATCTAACATCTATTAAACTCTGAGCACTTAATCATAACCTGATACATAGAAAGCTCAGGAAACAAAATGTCAGGCCAGATGCAGTGGTTCATGCCTGTAATCCTAGAACTTTGGGAGGCCGAGGCAGGCAGATCACTAAGTTGGTAGACCAACCTTGCCAACATAGTGAAGCCTTGTCTCTACTAAAAATACAAAAAATTAGCCAGGCATGGTGACGTGCACCTGTAATCCCAGCTACTCAGGAGGCTGAAGCAGGAGAATCCCTTGAACCTAGGAGGTGGAGGCTGCAGTGAACTGAAATTATGCCACTGAACTCCAGCCTGGGCAACAGAGAAAGAAAAACAAAACAGAAGAGGAGGGGAGGAAAGGAGAGGGCAAGGAGGGGGAGGGAGAAGGGAAAGAGAGGAGAGGAGGGGAGGGGAGGGGAGCAAAGGAGAAGAGAAGACAGTGTCAAATGAATTAGTACAAGTTGCTGTCCCAGACACAGCAAAGGAGGAGGCTGGAGACAAAGGCAGGAATGTTGGAGACAAAATGCATTAAATTGGGTCTCTGCTCTCAAGGAGCTTGTAATCTGAGTCAGATAATGAATCACACATGTAAAAATTAATTTGTGTCATATTTTCTCTACAATCCTCCTCTAGTTCCAAAGAAGGAAAGAGCCTCACATATTTAGAAAACAGAAAGAAAACCACTGAGCCTGGCTACAACATAGCGTCGAAGCTGAGGGTAGGAGACAGGGAGCCAATGAAGGGCCACAGATGGTAAAGAGCCTATTCATTCTGAAGTCACAATCCCCCGATAGGGTTTAGGAGGAAATGAAAGCCTGAAAAGTCACTGTAGTTGCCAGTGGAAGAATGACACGAACGGGTGAAAGAGGAAGCGAGAGACCCTTGAGGAAGCTACTGCCTTACACCAGATAAAAAAAGCAAAAGGCAATGTGGTCTACAAAAACAAAAACAGAGAAAGCCAATGCAAAGGTGATCTATGTTGGAGTTGAAGCTCTGACTGCATTTTCAGATAAATCGGATGGTCAAAGTCAGGAAAGTATATCAAGGGTGTTCTGTAAATGTTTAGATGGTAGCTTGTCACCTCTCTCCTTGAACCCCAAATGGCACTTCACAAAAATGGCACCCATGAACTTCATTTGGACAAATCAATTTTGAGATGTTTATTCACTCAAGTGGTGTTTTCAAGTAAGTGGCTGGACATATGAGTTAAAATTCAGTTTAGCGGTCAGGGCTGGAATTACTAGCATCCAGGAGATTTTCACAGCAATGGAACCATTTAAAGAATAAATAAAGACAGAGATGAAGTAATATCTCAGGTCAAAGGGCTGGGACACCCCAACCTTTATGATGCAGGCAGTTTAGGAGGAGCCTACAAAGACGACTGAGGAGAAGAGGGCAGAGAAGCAGCGGGAAACCCGACTGGAAGCCAAGAATGAGAAGACTTTCAAGGAAGGAACTATGTCAGATGCTGCTAAGCTGCCACGGAAGAGGAAGAATAAAATGTCAGGTTTGGAAATATTGAGGATGTGGATAAATCTGACAAGACTGGTTTCTATGCAGTGACAGAAAGAGAAGCTACATGGCAATGTTTGTAATAAAATAGAAAAACACCAAACATCACCCATGTGGCTATGCCACAGATGAGAAAATTCTCAGGCCTTTTGCCTGAGCACAAACTTTGACTTGCTTTGACCATGAATACACAGCCTTTGGCACCTCTCCAGTATCAGTGGAATGTATGCTCAGAAAAGCCAAAAGCAGGGCATGAAACTGCATTATTCAACAAGCCTCTTAGGCATAGGATGCCTACTAGTTCCTCCAATACGCATTATTCATGTTCGATGTTAGCAATTATTAGTCCGAAGACCATGGACTTAAGGGTTTATGAGGGACCATATGAAAAATTATGTGCAAATGCATTTTTCTACTGCAAGAGTCCAAAGCTTTTATCAAATTTTCAAGAGTTCCACGACTCTCTCTCAAAAAATAAAATGTTAAGAACTTTTCCCAACACCAAAGAATTTCTACAGCTCACCAAACTGAGACAGACTTTCCCTGAGATTAAGCTCCTATGAGACCATCATTTCTCATCATCCAGGGCACCACGTAACATTTGCTCCACAGTCAAAGAAACTCCAAATAGCCCAGAGGTCTAACAAATTACCCACCTATCTCATTGAGCACTCCATGAAGCTTTCAAAGGCTCTGAATCCAGAGAAATGTCACTTCTGGGCATGGAGCTTCAGAGGCTGATAAATGCTAAGTAATCCATTACCTTGTATGAAGACAGCGCAGGGACTGAGTGGGACGCCACAGTGTTTTGCCTAAAGAATTGTAGCTCAAGCACAGAGCACTATTTGACGAGGGTCCTCCTAATTCAATTTCTACAATCAGTTCCCATCAGGAACTCCTGCTCTGGGTAAGATATGATGGCTGTCTTATAAGCGGTACTTGGCATTCTGATTGGGTCAATACTATCTGAAGGGTTTCATTCCACTTTGAATACTTGGGCAAAGGCTGCTAGAAATGTTCAGCAATGATGGTGAATTTGCTTCTTCCAAAATGTGAAGGAATTTTAGGACATTTGTGCTCTTTAAAGTGCCACAGGTAAAGCATAAATTGACTCTCTATCCATGCAGACCAACAGTGCACTCCTTGCAAGGCACTGTGAATGGATCGGATGTGAAATTTCAACCTCACCTAAAATTCAGGTTTAACTCCTCAGCTGCTGCCACTGTATTTGGTCACTACAGAGTCAGAGCTCACATCCAATCACAAACATGACACTTAAATACTAGTGGAAACATAGCTGGCCATACTGTGAAGTGTCCTTCCTTAGAAGTACTCTCAGTCTTCAATCAAAACACACAAACATACAGCCTCTGAAACTCCATGCCCAGAAGTGACATTTCCCTGAAAGTGGCCAAACTGCCCAGAGTAATTTATAGATTTAATGCTATTTCCATTAAACTGCTCTTCACAGAATTAGAAAAAAGAAAAAAAAAACTCTAAAATTCCTATGGAACCAAAAAAGATCCCATATAGCCAAGACAATCCTAAGCAAAAAGAACAAAGTTGGAGGTATCATGTTATCCAACTTGAAACTATACTACAAGGCCACAGTAACCAAAACAGCATGGTACTGAAGGAAAAGAAACATGCTGTTAGAAACATTTTACTGCTTCACACAAACCTCGACAGATGTACATATGAGCATCTTGTGTACGCTGCTATTTTAGAATACTCCGTGTGTGTGAACATGGCTACAATTCTACAGATACTCAGCTTCAATACTGTCTTGCTTGTGTAACTACGAACAAATCATCTATTTAAAACTGATTATGAAAAACTGGCCTAGCAATACCAGGATCTCTACAACAAGTAAGTACAACATATTATACATGGAATACTCTCAAAATTACTGCCATATTATAAGCTACTATCACATTATTATGAAATTCTGAGATAGAACATACATATATTTTGGAGACAGGGTATCGCTCTGTCACCCAAGCTGGAGTGCAGTGGCACAATCGCTACTCACTTGAGACCTGAACTCCTGGGCTCAAACAATCCTCCTGCCTCAGCCACCTGAGTAGCTTGGGCTACAGGTACCTGCAACTATGCCTGGCTAATTTTTAGATTTTGTGTAGAGATGAGGTCTCAGTGTGTTGTCCAGGCTGGAGCATATTTCTAAAATACCAAGTATGTTAGCAATTCTATGGAATGTAATTTGAGAATAACTTTGGAGTTCAATAATCACATTAGGTCAAGTCTATCTGTAATACAGGCAGTTTATTACAACAGAAGATTTATTAAAATGTGTGAGTATGAACAACACATCTATATAGATTTCAGAAGCTACTAAATTGCCTCTAGTTATGGCTAGTTTTAGCCAATTCTGAAAGCAATTAAAAAGCATAAAACAATTTTCAGGCAAGACATATATTATCTGTCATACCAAACAGGACAGATGAAGGAAATTCCTCCAGGGAGACCAGGTTGCACAGGCAGCTGCTGGAAGACAGCATTCACATATGAAGTCACGCCAGCATCTCCAGCCCCTACACACTGAACTGAACATACTGTATCCACTGGTGGAAGGTACTGGGAAAGAGAGGAATAGAGGCCAGGCGCGGTGGCTCAAGCCTGTAATCCCAGCACCATGGGAGGCCAAGGCGGGCGGATCACGAGGTCAGGAGATTGAGATCATCCTGGCTAACATGGTGAAACCCCGTCTCTACTAAAAAAAGTACAAAAAATTAGCTGGGCCTGGTGGCGGGTGCCTGTAGTCCCAGCTACTTGGGAGGCTGAGGCAGGAGAATGGCGTGAACCCGGGAGGTGGAGCTTGCAGTGAGCAGAGACCGTGCGCCAATGCACTCCAGCCTGGGTGACTGAGCGAGACTCTGTCTCAAAAAAAAAAAAAAAAAGAGAGAGAGGAATAGAAACAGTAGAAGAACAGAATTAAGATCTCCACTACAGGTGAAATAGGAAATTAAAGGAAATTAAAAAGTGTATAAATCATAAATTCAGCAGAAACTCAGTTACATGTTGAAACCAACCCCCTGAGAGAGACAGCTAAAGTCTTTCAAAAATTAACTGCCTGTTTTTCTGTAGTTACTGAACCTTATCTCTCCTCCCTTCCCAGGCATTCCGTGAGGACCCTGTTTCCCTTGCTATACAGTTACAAGGTCACAAGACAGATAAGCCTCAGTCGCAAAACATGTTTTCCTTGGAAAAACAAGAAATGATGTAATGCATGCCTCAATTGATTAACTGCCTTTGTTTCTTGCTTCTTTAGCGCACTTCCCCCTGCATGTATCTCCCGCCACGAAACACTTAAAAGGGAGCGTGGCTCTTTGTTCGGGGCTCAGTCTTTTGGATGTTAATCCTACTGGGCTGGTGCACCTAAACAAATATCCTCCTGAACCCCATCAGTCTCTCTGATTCCTTAAAATTCCCACAACACAGGCATATTGTCACTGTAGTTCTATGGGATGTTTTTCTACAGAACTAAAAAACAAACCAACGGAAAAATCAAGTGGAAAGCATATCCACAGCAAATGAAAGTAGGTAGTTCTTGTCCTAACATTTAATATGAGAAAATTAGTTTATGGGTAAATATCACTTTAAGTAAATTGTACACATGAAAATACACTTGGATTCCCAATGTTTTAGGAGTAGGATATTTATTTTTACCAAATCCATCATGATTTATTTTGGTAACAAGCTCTCCCAGTATATTAGTTTGATTATAGTAAACTGTAGTGTGAAATAGTTTTCTAGATAGAGAAACGGTGGCTCAGGACCATTTCTTGCTTGTCAGTATATGGAAAGGGTGACTGTCCCACGGTGCTACGCCACCCACTCCTGCTGGGTGCACCAGAATAAAGACATAAAATACAGCCTCTTGCATAGGGTTTTCAAGATCTGATGCCTACGGTGGGATCATCTGTAGTCCAACTGAGAGATGCTGAAGTTCTCTGGAAAAGGTCACATTTATTTGTTCCTCCAGAAACAACCGAAACAACAGGGTTTGCAGAGCTTCCGGGTTACTGAACACAAGGAGGTGCTAGGAGGGTGCTGTGCCCGACAGAGGGCATGGAAGCTCTGTGTCCCTCCCCACATACCTTGCCTTATGCATCTTTATTTTCTTTTTTATCAAGACAGGATCTGGCTCTGTTGTGCAGACTAGAGTGCAATGGCAAAATTTCAGCTCATGCAACCTAAGCCTCCCCAGCTCCAGGTATCCTCTCATCTCAGCCTCCCCAGTAGCTGGAACTACAGGTGCACACTACTGTGCCCAGTAATTTAAAAAAAAAAAATTGTAAAGACAGGGTTTTACCATGTTGCCCAGGCCGGTCTCAAACTCCTGAGGTAAGGCCCACCTCAGACTCCCAAAGTGCTGGGATTACAGGCATGAGCAACTGCATCCAGCATGTACGTCTCTTTCATTGGCTGTTTCTGAGATGTATCCTTTATCATGAACCAGTAATAGGAAATTAACTGGCCAGATGCGGTAACTCACATCTGTAATCCCAGCACTTTGGGAGGCTGAGGTGGGAGGATCGCTTGAGCCCAGGAATCTAAGGCCAACTTGGGCAACACAACAAGACCCCATCTCTACAAAAAAATAAATTAGCCAGATGTGTTGGTGCAAGCATACAGTCTCAGCTACTAAGGAGGCTGAGGCAGGAGGACCACTTGAACCCAGGCAGTCAAGGCTGCAGTGAGCTATGATTGCCCCACTGCATACCAACCTGAGCAACAAAATGAGACTGTCCCTCAGAAAAAAGAAAATAAACTGTTTTATGAGTTCCGTAAGCTGTTATAGCAAATGATGAAACCCAAAAAGGGAGTCATGGGAACCCCTGATTTGTAACTGGTTGGTCAAAAGTACAGGTGACAACCCAGGACTTGCCATTAGCATCTGAAGTGAGGGTGGTCTCGTGGGACTGAGCCCCTGACCGGTGCGGTCTGCACTAACTCCAGGTAGCATCAGAAGAAAAATGGGAGATACCCAGTTAATATCCAGAGCATTGGAGAATTTCGTGTAGAAACTCCACACTCACATTCAGTCAGAAGTGTGCGAGCAGACAGAAATACAGGCTTTTCTTTTACCTGTCTATGTGCTTAACTGCAAAGTAGAGACAACACATGGTGCTCATGAACAAAGCATGCATTAAAGTCAGACCAGATCCAACATTTGACTCAATCTTAGTATCCATGTGAGCTTGGGCAAATCACTCTTCACTCCCAAGTCTTCATCACTTCATTCATACAATGGGGCTAACTGTGATACCTACCTGTGTTTTTGAGGATTAGTGAAATATTACACTTGGTGTTATTGTGATTATCATAACTATTTCAAACTATTTAACAAGGACAGCGATGGATAATAACATCAAAAGATTAGAAACTGTAATGAGGTTTAGTGAGAAATTCCATACAAGTAAATTAATCTCTCTGCAAAGCATTCCTGCCACACTTAATTCACCATTCCCTGAACAAAATGTGCCACCTTGATTGTCCAGGTCTTTCTAGTGCTGGTTTCCTTGCCTGGGCAGCTCACTCCATCCCAATCCATTCCCCACCCTCTACCACCACTTTCTCTCCCCACTCTCACACAACTCTTCCTCATCTTTCAGGACTCAGCTTCAATGTCCCCTTATCTGGAAGCTTCTCTCACCCTCCAGAAGAGCTTCCCGTTGCATTTGATGCATGCACTATTATTTGACCATTTTTGAGTTGTTGTCCAAGTCTTTTAATACCTGAATAACATGCTGTCCAGTCAGTCTCTCTTCCTGGGCTCTGAAGTATTTCGTAGTTGATCCAGCTAGAGGGACAAAAACACATTCTTAAAAAAAAAAAAGGAATGACACAAACATCAGTACTTAAAAGCTTTTACTGGTATGTAAAAATGAAACAAAATTCAAAGGCTTCTGGGGAACACTTCAAAGGGAAAGAACTACTTAGAATGTCATAGAGGGTTAATTTTTATTTTATTTTAGTTTTTGAGACAGAGTCTCATTTTGTCACCTAGGCTGGAGTGCAATGGTGCAATCAGGGCTCACTGCAGCCTCGATCTTCTGGGCTCAAGTAATCTCACCTAATTTTTCTTTGGTTTAGGAAACTCAGCCTTGGTTGAGTGAGGTGGCTTATCCCTGTAATTTCAGCACTTTGGGAGGCTGAGAAGTGTTGTATTTCTCCTCACACAGGGCACCAGCTGAGGTAAGGCTCCTCATCAGAAGGTATTAGCTGTGGGGTTCTGCCCACAGACCCAGACCCAAACGACAGATGGATAAAACGTACACCAACACACAGATATTCTGTTGTGCCAGTCCAGCTGAGTGTCTGACCGCCTGTACACCAAGAGAGGTTTGTCACTGTGGCTGGCCTTGAGCAGCTCACACTCTAGACATTTTATTTAGTATACAATTAACAACAGAAGCTCTGAATCAACACACTTGTGGATAATTAACATGGTTAAGAGAGTAGTTCTAAGAACGATTACAGCTCAGGTACAGTGGTTTAAAGTAAATACCATCGGGGGCAATCTCCGGGGTCGCCCTCCCCCTGAGAGGGCTATTTGGCTCAAAGGTTAGTTAATGGAGGTAGGGTAAACAGCCTTAACTGGGGAAGCCTCTACCATCCCTAGTATTTACTCTATGACCTAATGCTCTAAGGTAAGAACTGGCTGCCTTCAGCCTGTTCAATTATTACAAGCTAGGTAACCTTTCGGCCTTCCTAAAGGTTTGTGACTATTTCCTCTAACTTTCCCTAATATTCTCCTTTAATATTTCTGCCGCCATCCTGAGTGAATCCCAACAGAGAAAGGTGGATTGCTCGAAGCCAGCAACTTCAGATCAGCCTGGGCAACATATTAACACCGTCTCTACCCAAAAAACCAGAGTGAATTTGTGGAAGACAATTTTTCCACAGACTGGGGGTGGAGGGAATGGTTTCAGGATGATTCAAGTGCATTACCTATATCGTACACTTTATTTCTATTATTATTACATTGTAATATATAATGAAATAATTATAGATCTCATCATAATGTATCATCAGTGGGATCCCTGAGCTTGTTCTCCTGCAACTAGACTGTCCCATCTGGGGGGGTGATGGGAGACAGTGACAGATCATCAGGCATTAGATTCTCATAAACACTGTGCAACCTAGCTTCCTTGCATGCGCAGGGCACTATAGGCTCCGCACTCCTGTGAGAATCTAATGTCCCTGATGATCTGACAGGACATGGAGCTCAGGTGGTCATGTGAGTGATGGCGAGGGGCTGTAAATACAGATGAAGTTTCCCCTCACTCACCTGCTGCTCACCTCCAGCTCTGTAGCCCTGTGGTTGGAGACCCCTGCTCAAGTTCACTTGAAAGGATCCATCCCATGCCATTCTTCGGAGTCATCTTTACTGCTGCAGTGGTCAAGTGTAGCACCCTTTAGCTCCCAGGGAATGTGCCTCAGCTGGCATTTCATCACAATCAACACGTGGTAGCTTGAGTCACTGTGAGGTCACTTCCTGGAAATCACCAGCATTCCATATCCCGCTGGGAAGGAGCTGGGCACTGCTCCTTGGATAACCAAACCTAGGCCCAAATTCAATCAGGAGACATAAACCTCTGAAATGTTTATACTGCAATGGGTGCAGTGGCTCACACCTGAAATCCCAGCACTTTGGGAGGCCAAGGTGGGTGGATCACTTTGAGCTTAGGAGTCTGAGACTGGCCTGGAAAACACAGCAAATCACCCCCATCCCGTCTCTACAAAAAACACAAAAAGTAGCCGGGCATGGTGGGACATACCTGTAATCCCAGCTACCCAGGAGGCTGACGCAGGAGAATTGCTTGAGCCTGGGAAGTGGAGGTTGCAGTGAGCCGGGACTGTGCCACTGCACTCCAGCCTGGGTAACAGAGTGAGACCCGGTCTCAAAAATAATTAATTAAATAAATACATATATACATATATATATATATATGTAAAATTTAATATAAAGAAATGTTAATTGTAACAGGGGATCAGCATGATGAGGGACACCATAGCATAAATAAAGACAACTCTAGAGAATATACAACTAGCAGAGGCCAGGCACGGTGACTCAGGCCTATAATCCCAGCAATTTTGGAAGCCAAAGCAGGAGGATCAATTGGTACCAGGAGTTGGAGACCAGCTTGGGTAAATGGTGACACCCTGTGTCTACCAAAAAAAGAAAAAAATTTAGCCAGGAATGGTGGTGGTGCACAACTGTAGTACCAGCTACTTGGGAGTCTGGGTGGGAGGATGCCTTGAGCCTGGGAACTCTAGGCTGCAGTGAGCCAAGATCATGTCACTGCACTCCAGTGATGGTGACAGAGCGAGACCCTGTCTTAGAAAAAAAGAAAGTGTTAATCTAATCCCCCTATGGGAATTCTCTTCTCCTGCCCTCTCTGGAACCTCACTTGTCAGTTCTTCCTCAAACTTCCCTGTATCTTTAACATGTCCCCCACCAATCACTTCGGTCACTGTGGTGGCCAAAGTAATGCCCCCTACCAATTGCTCAAGTCCTGTGTTACACAGCGCAGTTACAGAGGAAGGGGGATATTAAGAGTGCAGATGGAATTAGTGTTGCTAATCAGCTGTCCTTGAAACAAGATTATCCTGGAGTATCTGGGTGAGCCCATGTAATTACAAGGGTACTTTAAATACGGAAGAGGGAGGCAGGAAGCTAAGAACCAGAGAGGGTGGGCACAACGGCTCATGTTTGTAATATCAATACTTTGGGAGCCCCAGGCAGGAAATCCCTTGAGTGCAGGAGTTCAAGGCAAGTCCTGGCAACACAGCCAGGCCCCATCTCTACCAAAAATTTCAAAATTCACTGAGTGTCATGGCGCTTACCTGTAGTCCCAGATACTCGAAAGGTGGAGGAAGGATTGCTAGCCTGGGGGTTTGAGGCTACAAAGAGCCGTGATTGCCCCACTGAACTCCATCCTGGGTGACAGAGCAAGATCCTGTTTCTGAATGTAAATGACAAGTCAATGGGTGCAGCACACCAACATGGCACCTGTATACATATGTAACAAACCTGCATGTTGTGCACATGTACCCTAGAACATAAAGTGTGTGTGTGTATGTATATTGTGTGTGTGTGTATATACACACACACACACACACACACACACACATAAAGGACATTGGAATCAGGGCTTTCTCCATCCTAAGGTTCCCACACGGCATCTCTCTCTGCAAATGAGTAAACATACTCCAACTCTCTGCAGAGTGGAGCAGCAGGAAAACACACTCACCTCATTTCCGTGCTGCTTGAGAAGCCTGGACAGCCCAATAACCAACTCCTTCCTAATGAAGAAACCTGGAAATGGCTGGACTTGAGCTAAGGAGAATTTAGTTTCTTCTTTTGGTTCTCAATAGGCAGGGTGGGGGCCAGGCACGGTGGCTCACACTTGTAATCTTTGCACTTTGGGAGGCCCAGGGGAGAGGATCACATGAGGCCAAGTGTTCAAGACCAGCCTGGGCAACGTAGCAAGAACCGGATGGCATGCACCTGTGGTCCGCAGTACTTGGTAGGATGAGGTGAGAGGACTGATCATTTGATCCCAGGAGTTTCAGGCTGCAGTGAACCATGATCGCACCATTGCACTCTGGCCTGTGTGACACAGCCAGATCATGTCTCAAAAAGTGAGAGAGAGACAGAGAGAGACAGAGAGAGACAGAGAGAGAGAGAGAGAGAGAGAGAGAGAGAGAGAAACTATAGGCAGGCACTAGCACATTCAGCTAACTTTTAAATATTCTTTAAATAGAGACAAGGTCTTGCTAGGTGGCCTATGCTGGTCTAAAACTCCTGGCATCAAGAGATCCCCCTGCCTCAGCCTCCCAATGCCCTGGGATTATATTTTTTGTTTACTACTATTGAAGACACTTGTTCTTATACTGCTTTAAGGTATAAAAGGAAAAGAAATACAGATAATAACAAATGTTAGTGAAGGCCAGGCACAGGGGCTCAGCTTGTAATTCCAGAACTTTGGGAGGCTAAGGTGACCAGACCATTGAGGCTAGGAGCATGAAACCAGCTCGGGCAACATGGTAAAACCCCATCACTACAAAAAATATATAAAAATTAGCCAGGCATGGTGCTGTGTATCTGTAATTCCCAGCTACTCAGGAGGCTGAAATGAGAGGATCACTTGTGCCTGGGAGGTCAAGGCTGCAGAGAACTGTAATGACATTACTGCACTCCAGCCTGAGACAGAGCAATCCTCTGTCTAGAAAAAACATAATGTCAGAGAAGATGCAGAGGAATTGGAGCCACATACATTACTGGTGGGAACATAAAATGGCATAACCACACTGGGAATTTCTTTTCTTGTTATTTTAATTTCATTTTTTTTTTTAAATCAAGACAGGGTCTCCCTATCTTGCCTAGGCTAGTCTTGAACTTGTGGGCTCAAGTCATCCTCCCAACTGAGCCTCCTAAGTAGCTGGGATTACAGGTGTGAGCCATCACACCTAACTGGTCTAACCACTTTAGAAAACATCTGGCAGTTTCTCAAAAGCCTAAATGTGCAGTCATCACATAATGCAACAATTTAACTCCTAGGCATGTATCTCAGAGGAAAAAAATATATATGTCCATACAAAATTCTGTATAGGAATCTTCATAGCAGCATTATTCATAATGGCCAATACACGAAAACAACCCAAATGTCCACCATTGATGAATGAATAAACAAAACGCAGTGTGTCTACCATGGAATATTATTCAGCTGTAGAATGAATGAACTACTGATAAAAGCCACAACATGAAGGAACTTTGAAAACATTGAACTAAGAAGGAAAAAAAGCCAGCCACAAAAGATCATGTATTGTACAATTCTATTTGTCCAGATTAGGCAAATACACAGTGACAGAAAACCAATCAATGGTTGCCTAAGGCTGAGAGCAAAGGCAGGTGGTAGGGAGTAGGAATCAGTGGCTAAGGAGTGTAGATTTCTCTACAGGGTAATGAAAGGTTCTAAAAGTGACTGTGGTGATCGGTGCACAGCTCTGTGAATACTCTTAAAACCCACTGAATTGCAGATTTCAGCAAATAAATTGCATGACACATGAGTTGTATTTTTATAAAGCTGTTATTTAAAAAAATAATAATAAGGGGCTGGGCATAGGTAGTCACACCCGCCTGTAATCCCTGCACGATGGGAGGGTAAGGCAGGAGGATCACTTGAGGTTGGGAGTTTGAGATCAAGTTGAGCAATCTAGCGAAATCCTGCCTCTACAAAAAAAAAAATTAAAAAAATTCAGCTGGTCATGGTGGCACACGTCTGTATTCCTAGCTACTTGGGAGACCGAGGTGGGAGGATTGCTCGAGCCCAGGAGTTTGAGGCTGCAATAAGTCATGATTATGTCACCATATTGCAGCCTGGGCGACAGAGCAAGACCCTGTCTGTACAAAGGAAAGAAACGTGCTGCGCATGGTGGCTCATGCCTGTAATCTCAGCACTTTGGGAAGCTGAGGCAGGTGAATCATCTGAGGTCAGGAGTTTGAGAACAGCCTGGCCAACATGGTGAAACCCTTTCTCTACTAAAAATTACAAAAATTACCTGGCTGTGGTGGTGGATTATTGTAATCCCAGCTACTCAAGAGGGCTGAGGCAGGAGAATGGCTTGAACCCAGGAGGTGGAGGTTGCAGTGATTCCAGACCATGCTACTGCACTCCAGCCTGGGTAACAAGAGCAACACTTCATCTCAAAATAAATAAATAAATAAAAATAAAAAAGAAAAGAAATGCAAGTTTTTATCACTTTGTGAGCGTAGCCAAGTTTGAGAAGGAATAGACAAGAATAAAAGAACACTGAATAATGAGGGTGAGTGGCTGGTTAGTCTCAGTTGCTAGCCAAGTGGGTTCTGAAAAATTCATTAGTAAAGTCACAGTTCCGGGACAGTCATGCAGTCAAATAATGAATGCTAAATTCATTACAAATGGCCTTGGTCTTTCTTCACATGCCTTCTAGTGAAAAATTCCTATGTGCCAAAACAGCAAGTTTGCAATGACAGCAGCTGTTTATTTTAAAGACTACAATAAAGAAATGGCATCTTCTTCAAGAACAACATAATGTCGCGTGATAAAGAAGCTCTAATTTTGCCTCTGTTCAAGCGTTGATCTGATTTAGCCAATATGACACCAATTTTGGATAAAGTGCAAACAACACAATTTCATTTTTCATTAATCAAAACTGATTAGGTAGTGTAATATCAACTCTGATTTTATTAAAAATTGTTAAGTGCCTGGCACGGTGGCTCACTCCTATAAAACTAGCACTTTGGGAGGCCAAAGTGGGTGGATCATTTGAGGTCAGGGATTCGAGACTAGCCTGGCCAATGTGGTAAAACCCCGTATGTACCAAAATACAAAGAAGTAGCTGGGAGTGGTGGCACGTGTTTGTAATCCCAGCTACTCAGGAGGCTGATGGAGGAGAATCGCATGAACCTGGGAGGTGGAGGTTGCAGTGAGACAAGATTGTACTCCAGCCTGGGTGACAAAGTGAGACTCTGTCTCAAAACAAACAAACAAAAAAAATTGATCCGATAAAAAATATG